CTTGATTATTTATAAACTACTGATTACCTTAATGAAAATATTTAAAATATGATGTGCAACATATACACACACACACACACACACACACACACACACACAAATGATCATCAGAACTTTAGGAATATATCTGTTGTGCAAAATGAAGGACTACAGAAAGAGCCTGCACCTTGATCAACTTGCGGTCTTGATTTACTTATTCTTGCTACATTTTGAAACTAAGAAGTCAGTGAAAGAGTACATCCTTTGTTGACTTTATACACATTGTTACATAATGATGTCTTAAGTCTTAAAACACCAATTCCATGTGCTGATAAAAATTTCAAAAGGTGGGTAAACTTGGTGCTTTCACTTTTCTTTCAAAACTAACTTCATGGGTTTGTTTCTCAAATTTAGGCTTCTCTAGGCGTGAGCCCTGAAGTTCTACCCAAACATCCCTTTACTGCCTACTTGAATGCTACAACATCAACTTTAAACTCACTTGTTCATTTAATAAAAAATCATCTGTTGAGCTACTCCAGTTTGAAGACACTGTGGTGCGGGTATAAATGTGAAGATGATACAGTCCTTTCCTCATTAAAGGGCTCCTAGCCTTCCCCCTACTTTTGTCCTTCTACCATCATTCAGGCAAGAAATCTTAGCATCAGCTTTAACCTCATTCTCATCTATCCAAATTCCAGTTTTTCCATAACTACTACCCTAATCCAACAATTTATCACTTTGTCATCACCTCACCCAATATTTATTACACAACATTTACTAAGCACAGTGTTAAGTGCCATAAATGCATTATTTCATTTAATTTTCACAATAATCCCAAGGGATTTTTGTTATCTCTTATTTCATAGATGAGGAAACTGAAGTTTAGAGAGATTAATTTATGCATAGTCAGTAAGAGACAAAGCTATGTCAAATGCCAGAATCTACATTCTTCAATACTACCACAGTTCATCCTCATCAATGAATTGCAGCAATCCCTTTCCAGCTTCCATTCTCTCAGGATTTTGCCGCCAATGAATCCTTTACAATACAATATCCTTTCTAAAGAACTATTCTTTTTATTTCTTACCAAATAAAGTATGCACTAGTTGTCTCCTTAACTTTCTCCCTGAAGTGGGGCAGAAAGGGGCACAATATACATGATATAGAACTTGTGTACTCCAACAAAATAACAAGCACTTATTAAGAGCTAAATACTTGCTACTGATGCTAATTCTCCTCTACCTAGAAAATAAATTCAAATGCTTGTGTTGGCATTCATACACTTCCTACTTTTTATTCTCTGTTTTTCAACACAAATCCTATTCTACACAGACAAAAATTATTAAATTTCTAATATTTTCTTCCCCATCCTCCAACAACTGACTTAAACATGAAATCTTCACTGGTCTCACAGTTTAACCTGCTGTTAAAATACATAAACCACTACTCTGATTTTCAAAGGCTTTCTTTCCTTAAAAAAAGATCCATAAAACAAATGAACAAACGAGATAAAATTAGTGTTGTGACTGAAAGAGGTAAAATAAATATATAACTACAAGTTCTGAAAAATAATATAAAGTAAGATACAGGGCATGACAACACAAGATTTAAGACTTTGGGGTATAGGACAGAGAAGTCAAGAGAAGGCTTCTCTGAGAAAGTACCAGTGAAGCTGAAAATTGCAGCATGAGTTGACTGGTGGATGGTGGCACTGGAACAATCCAGGCGAACAGCATGTGCAAAGTCCCTGAAGTGGAAAAAAACTTGGCATGACTAAGGAAATTAAAAGCAGTGTGGCTGGAGTTTAGTGAGGGAGAGCAGGAGGGTACAAAATGAAGCTAGTGACAAGAACCATGCTGTAGAGAGCCTTGTGAACCACAGTAAAGACTTTGATTTTTATCCTAAATGCAATAAGCACTTAGCAATGGGAAATCTACTGAAGGGTTTCAAGCAAAGAAATATGTTACAGCTGAATGGAGAAGTGATATAGTCAGTTTGGGTTTGGGGAGGAGAGTGAAAAAGAACAAGAATGAAAAAAAATAGGGCAACCAGATAGGAGAGTATTGATGTTGTTCAGCTTATAACAATTACAATAAATAATGCTTGCTGATCACTTAATGTATCCCATGTGCTTACAATGGTTATCTCACTTAATCCTTATAACAATCCAATGAGATGGAAATTCTTAGTATTCTCATTTCACAAATGAGAATCCTGGGAGCCAGAGTGATCAAGTCTAGGTGAAAAAGGACTGTATCTTGAACAAGAAAAGTAATAACGAAGATGTACAGAAATAGATTCAAGACATATATTGGAAGTAGCATAGATAGAACTTGGAGAGGGTATGGATACATGGGGAATTGAGAGAGGAGTCAAGAATGTCTCTCCAGTTTCTAGCCTGTGTAACTAGATAAACGGATATGCCAGTTAATGAAATGGAACACTAGAGGAGAAAGAATTTCAGTGTGGAAAGATCAAGACTTGGGTATTAGATATGTTATATTTGAAATTCCTGAGGAAAAAATCAAGTTGAGATGTCGAGCAGACAGTTGGCTATTTAGATAAGGAGCTGAAAACAAAGGGAACAGGCTGGAAATAAAAATTCTTTAGTCATCAATATATAGGTGGAATTTAAACTTTAGGGAAGGCCAGGTGCGGTGGCTCACGCCTGTAATCCTAGCACTCTGGGAGGCCGAGGCGGGCGGATTGTTTGAGCTCAGGAGTTCGAGACCAGCCTGAGCAAGAGCGAGACCCCGTCTCTACTAAAAAAATAGAAAGAAATTAGCTGGACAACTAAAAATACATAGAAAAAAAATTAGCCGGGCATGGTGGCACATGCCTGTAGTTCCAGCTACTCGGGAGGCTGAGGCAGAAGGATCGCCTGAGCCCAGGAGTTTGAGGTTGCTGTGAGCTAGGCTGATGCCCCGGCACTCTAGCCCGGGGAACAGAGCAAGACTCTGTCTCAAAAACAAACTAACTAACTAATTAAATCAATCAATCTATCTTAGGAAGGAACGGAAGAGTAAAAGATCTAGCAATGAACCCAAATATTCATTTTACGGCATCGAACATCTCTAAGACAACTGATTACTTTTATGTCGCTGGGTTTTCCAGTTCTCCTTTAATTTTACCTTTCAGCAGAGTGCAACACTACTGATGACTTCTTTCATTTCTTGCAAGACTCATCCTTCTTTATTCAGTTATTAAACGTGAAGAATTTCTCAATGCTCCATCCTAGGTTCCCTTCTTTTCTAGCACTATACTCTCTTTAGGCAATTTCACCTACATCCATAGCTTCAGTGATTACCAATATGGCAGATGACATACATATATACGTACCTATGTATCCAGCCCAGAACTCTGCTTGGCTCTCCAACCCAGTCTATCGTACTTGACACCCCCCCTCTGATATCTCTTCCAGTTAGACTTGCCAGGCATTGCCACCCCAATAAAGGCGTTTACAGAGCTGAAATTTTAAGAGGACTACCACAAAGCCACCCATAGGACAAGTCTCCAGAATACAGGACTTTTGTAAACAATTACCATTTCCTTTCTTGGATCATGGCTTAAAATAGATAAACCTGGCAAACTGACCTGATGGCTAGAAATGAGGAACAAGAAAATGCACGACAAAAATATAATCCATGCCTTTTAGTGAGGGATGGTTAAGAGAAAGAAAGTGAAAGATACTCAAGAGAGTGAATGAGTAACGTGTCCAAGGCCTGATAGATGTGCGGCAACGAAAGTCACATGAAAAGACAGCAGGCCTTGCTAGGGGGCAAGTGGCGGACGACGACAGTCCCAGAGAAAAGGCGCCAGGTTCAGGTTTCGGAGGGAGCGAGTGACAGCAAAGCCCAGGTCTAGGGAGAGGGAAAGCCAGCGGGGAGGTACACCCAAGCAGAGTACCTGTGAGGCCGGGGAAGCGTCGAGGGGTTGGGGGCGGGCTGAGGGGCGAACTCCGGAGGAGTGAACGCCGAGTGGGCGGATCGCACGGGGAGGAGGGGTGGGGAAAACGACTCAATTGAGAAGCTACCGTGGCCCGCCTTACCTGAGCCTGAGGGTCCGGAGCCCCCGGACAGGCCTGCCGGAAGCACAGAGCACGCGCTGAGGGGGAGGAACTGGGGCTAAAGAAGGAAGGGACGCCAAGCCCGAAGGAGCGAGACCGCTCGCTCCCCCAGTCAGGGAGAGCGGCTGATGGCGGGAACTGTGACCACACGCAAACACGCACGCACGCACGCACGCACACTCGACGCGGCCAGAACAGGCGCGTGCGCGCAAGCCTGCAAACTCCGCCCCACTTATGCCCTCGCCCCGCCCAGTACCTAGCGTTGCCTAACCGGAACAGCCCCGCCCCAGCCGTGACTTAGTACGCATGCGCACTTTTCACTTCACCCAATTTCGACCTCCCACCGTTTCCCTCCTACTCAGCCCAGGCGGGCATGCGCAATACGTGTCTTCCCGGGACTGCCCGTCTTTTCCCGCCCTTCACTGGCCTCCGGAAAAGGGTCAGAGTTCACGCCCTCGTGTGGGGCTACCTGCTCGATGCCGGGCGTTGAGGGAGCTAGTAGGTCGCTACGTCCTTCCGGTACTGAATCTTAGGGGGCAAAGGGCATACCCTGATACTGTTAACTAGGCCGAGAGCCAGGAGGCGGGAAGAGGTTGTGTGGGCGGGGTCAGGGGTAAGAGGTCAGAGGTCTGTGAAGGGGGCGGAGCGAGCTGGAGGCGGATGGCGGTTACGGCGGCTCAACATCTTTGGCGGCAGAGGTGCTGAAGCGGGGAAGCGGGTCGGTCGTACGGTGGAGGAAGGAGAGCGGCGGCCGCTCCCAACATGCACAGCCTGGCAACGGCTGCGGTGAGTGGCTGGGCCGTCCGGCCTAGACCCAGAACCCTTCCTCAGCCCCGCATTTCTGTCTTTCCTCCTAGCTCCCCGTGTCGGGCCCCAAGTCCGGCTCTTTCTGCCCTCAACCTGCGAGGCTCCGGCTCCTCTCTTCGGCACGCCTAGGCTGTGGTCTAGCCGGCCCCCACTTTCCTCGCCGGACGCTTCTCGCGGCCTCCAGCACCACACGTCGCATTCTTTTCAGGGCTAGGGCCTGGTCCCGCGCCCGGAGCGCCTCCCTCGCGGCCGGGGCAGGCCATTCATTGATTCATGGCGCTGACCAACAGTTTCAGGGCGCCAGTTGTGTGCTGGGCGCCGGCGGGAATGAGGGGAATTGCGTGGTCAATCTGGTGCGGTTCGTGCTCTCGGAACTCACGGCCTAGGCACATCGCAGCAGGGAGGAAATGGCTTTTAGCTCAAACCTCTTGCTATACGTATGGAAAACCTGAGGCCCGGAGAAGTGCATAATTATTGCATCTGACTTATGGTTCTCTGCGTTAAAAAGCTTTGGCGTACATCTCTTTTTACCAGCGTGATCTTTTAACAAGAAAGACGGATCGTGTAATTCACTTGTCTGAAGTAATCCTATAGCTTCCCACTGCATTTAAATAAAGTCTAGACTCCTTGCCATGGTCTGCAAGGCCTTGTATGATGTGGTCCTTACCCATTTACAACCTCCTTTTACGTCTCTTGCTCCTTAAGCTTCAGCTACTCTGGCCGCCTTTCTGACCCTACACTCTCTCTTCCCCTCCACGATGCGCTTTCTGGTCTCTATGCCTGGAGTGAATGCTCGTCTTACCCTTCCCCCAACCTCCTTACACACACGTACACACATAGCATGTGAGTGTAACTGGTACCTCCTCCTTGAACTTACTGTTTATCCAGATCAACCTTTTTTCAGGTCTATGCCTAAATCTGCCCTAGAGTGGCCTTTCCTGACCACCTATTCAAAGTAGTTCTGTAACCTCTAATTTTGTTAGAGTGCCCCTTTTACTGCCCTGACTCCAATGTGTAACTATTGTATTCATTTACTTCTTTGTGGTCTGTCTCCTTGAGGGCAGGGACAGGGATCATGAGGGTCCTTTTTTTACATGGTTTCCCCAGTGTCAGGACAGTTCCTGGTACAAGGTAAGGACTGAAATACTTTGCTGAATGAATGAATATAGATGAGGGAGGTGACCACTGACAGCACATAGCCATAATAGGAAAAGGGGATCATTTGATTTGAGCAAACTTGTCTGAAGGCCAGTTCTACTTTTTCTGTTTCACCAAGGGAAAGTGATTTAAGGAAAGTAGTGTGCTGAAGTTTCATTAACAGGCAAAATGACATAATTACTAAGTAGAGCATAAAAAATTGCCTTAACTTTAAATACAAAAAGTGAAAAATTGAACCAAGTGTGACTAAGCTATAGAAAACTGCTTTTTGAGATTTTATCTGTATCGTGTTATTGTCATTTCCAAGGCTAGTGGTATTTCTGTCACTGTTTCTAAGTGTTTGTAACTATTCAAAGTGGAGAGGTACCTTTTATATCTCTCAATTAGGTGGTGGTAATTCCCCTAGATTTTTTGTTCCTTCTCCCATGTAATTTGGGAAGAAGCAAGTTGGAAGATGAGGTTGCTGCTGGAAGGGGAGGCAGGTTAAATAAGAGAAATTCTTCTAAGATTGACTTGTCCATCTCTCAAAATCTGATCGTCATCTTCTGTAAGATTTGTACCTTTGATACCAAGCCACTCTTTTCCCTGTGCCTTTCCAAACAATATACCTATTCCTTCTGTTTTCATTTTCTCCCTAATGCGTCTTTTGAACAACCATTAAAACTATGGTACCTTGCTTACAATAAGTATTCAATACATGTTTTTCTTCAATTAAATTTACAATGCATTACATTAATTTAGGATTTTGAACTTTTAGATGCACTTTCACTTGTTAGGCTATTTGGACCACACAGCAGCTCTGACAAGTCCCTTTGTACCACTCATTCACTATGATATTTGTCTAGTGAGGAGACTGAAACAAAAAGTTGAGCCTCCGCCTTCTGAATCCTTCATGCCCTCCATTGGACCAAACTGCCTATATTTTTGATTGTTTTGTTTTCTTTTTTTTTTTTAAAGGGGTGGGAGATTGTGGGGTGGGGTGTTTAGTTGCCTTGTCTGTTTTTGTTAAGACAGAGTATCCCTCTGTCGCCCTGGG